CCTCACGGTGCCCGGGGGCTTTGCTCGCTGCGAGCCCGCGTGGGGCTTGTGCAAGGAGGAGAGGGGAAAGCGGGACCCCCGCTCCTCCTGCCCTGCGGGCAGCCCCGAGGGTGACATCGCTGTCTCCTGCCTTTGTGCCCCTCCATCACTGACCGGCCCCTCCGTCTTCCCCGCAGCAAGGAGAGCTCAACTCCTTCCTCTGGACCATTCGCCGTGACCCCCCCGCTTATCTCTTCGGCACCATCCACGTGCCCTACACGCGAGTTTGGGACTTCATCCCTGACAACTCCAAGGCCGCCTTCCACGCCAGCTCCAGCGTGTACTTCGAGCTGGACCTCACGGACCCCTACACCATCTCGGGGCTGGCCAGCTGCCAGATGCTGCCCCACGGGGAGAACCTGCAGGACGTGCTGCCCCGGGAGCTGTACCGCCGCCTCAAACGCCACCTGGACTACATCAAGCTGATGCTGCCCCACTGGATGACCCCGGACCAGCGGGGCAAAGGGCTCTATGCCGACTACCTCTTCAACGCCATCGCCGGGAACTGGGAGCGCAAGAGACCCGTCTGGGTGATGCTCATGGTGAACTCCTTGACGGAGACGGACATCCGCTCCAGAGGGGTGCCGGTGCTCGATCTCTACCTCGCCCAGGAGGCCGAGAGGATGAAGAAGAAGACGGGTGCGGTGGAGCGGGTGGAGGAGCAATGTCACCCGCTGAACGGGCTCAACTTCTCCCAGGTAAGGAGGCTTTCTGGGCCTCGTGCCTTATCCCAGGATATGGGGGCTGTTCTCCTTGCACTTCCATCAGTTGAAGGGGGTGAACCCCAAACAGTGGGCTAGTCACTCGTGGGCCTCAGCAGCTTCTGTGTTGGGCTGCCTGTTAACCCCGTGATGTGCGTGGCAAGCTCTGTGTGGGTATCGTGTGTATAATTTATTTGAGAGGCAAATGTCCAGGGTGTGAATGTGTGTGTCTGCTTGCTTGCCACTTGTGAGGGAAACTTCCATGCTTCCCATCCTGCCCCAGAGCTGGGTAAAAAGTGGTTTTTTTTGTTTGTTTGTTTGTTTGTTTTGAAGTAAAGCAGCTCTGTGGTACTTGTCAGGAAGAGGATGAAGCATGAACAATGAAAATAGAAATTTCGACATTGTTCAAATTGATTTAAGTACATGCAAACTGTCAGTTGTCTTTTTAGTGGTCACTCTGGGTCAAAACAAAGTGGCTCATGTTGCCCTTGTCCTGGGGGAAATTAAGTGTGCAATAGGCATGGGTTTATTTCATTTTAGAGCAGGTAAATTTCAGCAAACAGAAAAGGATGTAGTTTAAGAAACAAAAGTTATTGGTGTAACTGGACTCCGGAATTCTTTCAATGGATTTAGCTTTAAACAACCAAATACTAAGCCATGAGATCTATTTCATTTCAGTGGATTAATCAGGAACACAGTAACAGCTATTGACTTTGCTTTGTGGAACTGTTTATGTGAAATGAGATTTACGAGAAATTGAGGAAATGAATGTGTGTGGAAGAAAACAAATAATCCAGGAGAGATTTAAGATGGTGTCAGTTACTGCTCTGATATTTCATTTTTTACCTGCTTTTCGTCATTAGTTTTGGATCAGTCTATTTCCAGCCTTATCTTACTGTCCTACTTTGACCATAAAAATTCTTGGTGATGTGGGAATAAGGATTAAAGTACTAATCTTCGGTGTGATTAAAATGTCCTTAGAGTGCCTTCACCCCCTGCTCCCCTGAAGTCCGGTAGGAACTATTTGAAGGAGAAAAGGTCTGACTTTCACTAACATTTGGTTTATCCAATACTTCAACTAGGAGTTTTAACTCTGAATACAGCCTTCAGAGAAGATTTGTTGCATACACTTTTGAATGTATTTTCTTGTTTATCAACAAAAATAATTAAAAGAAAGCCCCTCAGGACCTTTGCATTATTTAACACACATCCAAATCAAGGAATTCGTTTTAAACTGTTCTGTATGAAAGGTTTGAGTGCTTTCTGCTGAACCCTTTCTTTAAGGTGAGGTAAAAATAATTAACCATTCCAGTCATGCTATAGTGTTTGGTTGTATTAGGTCAAAAATGGCAGTTAGAATCAAGCATATGAAAGCACCTGGTTAAAAATGTACCACTTGGAAGCCTTTTAAATGTGAATCATACTACATTTTTTTCTTTTCAGAGAGAGTGAGCAACAGAGAAAGGAAAAGGAACTGAGTACAAAACTCACTGCTGCTCTTAACCATAATTGTTTCTCTGTCCAACTTTTAAATAGAAACAAAAATTTCTCATTCATTTTGCTCCAAAATAATCTAAAAAAGCACAGTAAAGGTATTACTCCTCTTGGCAAGCAAAAGACAGTCATTTATGCAAAACATTTGTGCTGATTAAAGGAATACATTCCATTTTAATTGTTAGAGAGAATTGACAAAGTTGCTGAAATAGATCAGTGTTCAGGAGGAAATTTCCTAGATTGAAGCTTTTTCTGGGAACAAGGCCACCAGAACAACAGGAGACAAAATTAAACAAAACAAACCAGATATTTATTTTCTTGCTTCCTCTAGATTTCCATGCATCCTGACACCTGGCTAGTTGTTTAACAATAGTAATTTGTAATGTTATCACACTGTCTGGCAGTCCTACTGCTTGGTGTATTACTGTGCTAATTTAGTGGAGTGGATTAC